GCGCGAAGAGAATTGTCTTTGAATATAACGGTCAGCCGCATTTTCAAAAGTCAGTCAAGAGTGAAGCAGCGAGTCAAGACAGATCAGCGAGTCAAGACGTCCACAGGACGAGCAGTCGCATGGAGCGGCTGGCTCCGAGCCTCGCTGAGTAGTGAGGATCGCATGAGTCGCCATGTATCAACGAAAGTGAGTCATACAGCAGTGGAGAGAAACTGCTATCAGCGAATCAGCGCTGAGAGCGCTCGAGCATCTCCACAGAGAAAGCACGTGCAACGTAGCTGAACCAGCAGCGGAAAAGCTTGGACAGCCGCCAACAAATTCAGCAAACCAGCGACCAAGCGCGTGCGACTTGAGTCATACAGCAGTGGAGGAAACCTGCTGCCAGAGAGCCGCCAACAACCTCAACAAAGAGAGCACGTGCGACTCGGCTCACTCAGCAGAAGAAAACTTGACCTGTCGCCCGCGAGCGCAGCGTCAGATACTACAGCAGCGGAAAGAGCGCGGCCAGCAACGCCAAGCAAGAGCGTGCAGCAGCTCAACCAGCAGTGGAGAGAAACTGCTGTCAGCGAACCAGCACGGGCGCGTTCGCGCATCTTCAAGGAGAGGGAGCGCGCGCCACCAGCGTGCCATCAGCACCAGCATCAGCACCAGCGCGTGCCAACATTAACCACCAGCGTGCCACAGCGCGCAACTTCGCATCACCAGGGCTGAGAGGGCAGCGGCCCCGCACTCAACACCCATCGGCGCGACGACGGCGAGCGTCGTGCTGACTCATCCAGCCAGCAGTGGACAGAAACTGGCAGCCGTTCGTATGCAACCCCTCCTCCACACTCCCTCCTCACTCCCCCACCGCGCCGCAACACACAGGAAACACATTTTGGACACAAGAGATGCTAACCTCGGCGTCTGCTTTACGCAAGGAATTGAACCATTGATAAAGAAGACACACGATACGCATATCGGGATAATCAAGAAGGGTGCCACTCCAAGGTGGTGCATTAAAAATCAATTCATAAAGGAAAATACTGCTGTCATTGATGAGTTGCATAATAACCAATCGTCCTACTGTTAACAACGTGATAATTGACTTGAAGGTCTATGAATGGATGTGGTACTGTGTGGGCAATGTTTAAACACGAATTTACAAATTATAAGGTTAAGGTTTTGATAGAATAGTTGCATGTTTTAATCTCTCTCTGAACAACCGATTGATTGTGTTACGCGTCGGGAATTAACCACAGGTGCCGCTATCGAGGTGAAACAACGCAATCGTGATGGTATCATGTTAACGCTGTGTTGAAATTCCAAAATCCCGAGATTGAGTTTTCATATTATCCAAAAATTAAAGTTAGCTAGAAAATAAAATTGATTAAAGCAGGTTTGTGTGTGATTCTTCCTGAAATTCTGCATATTGTTCTGCGTATGAGATCTGAATCCTGGGGACCTATCATAAGCACACTATCACCACACATAATCCATAACACACATAATTCATAATGTTCAATCGAGAGTAATCATATCTTCCCACACACACTGCACTTGAAGGGTTTCTCTCCCGTGTGTGTTCTCTGGTGTCTTTGAAGATGAGATGAATCTGAAAATGCCTTCCAACACACATTGCACTTGAAGGGTTTCTCTCCCGTGTGTGTTCTCTGGTGTGTTACAAGATGACATGAATCTGAAAACGCCTTGCTGCACAAAGTACACTTTAAGGGTTTCTCTCCTGTGTGTGTTCTCTGGTGTTTTTTAAGAGAAGATGACCGTAAAAATGCCTTCCCACACACACTGCACTTGAAGGGTTTCTCTCCTGTGTGTGTTCTCTGGTGTGTTACAAGATTAGATGACTGTGCAAACGCCATCCCGCACATCGTGCACCTGAAGGGTTTCTCTCCCGTGTGTGTTCTCTGGTGGGTCTGAAAAACTGATGGCCATGCAAATGCCTTGTTACACACAGTACATTTGAAGGGTTTCTCTCCTGTGTGACTTCTCTGGTGCCGTGTCAAATTTCCAGTCCGATCCGTGCTGTATGCACGCTGGTCGCATTGTTGACTTGTCGTACCGAGCTGCTGTGCTGAGGGCCTTTGCTCCATCAGACCAGCGTCAGCTGCAGACAGAAAATAAGAATATCCACACCATCTACACGTCAGTATCGAGGCATGGAGGAATGAATATATACAGTCACACGTGACTTGCACGTCTATATTCATTCATGTATTCATGACTAGCTGTACTACCCGGCTTCGCCCGGGACTTGGATCCACCACGTCCGGCCGCCTTTGTGTCCCCAGTGGCGATGTTCACACCACAACAGTTACTCGTTTAAGGCTGAGTCT